TGTTTGTCTCCGGAAGCCAGACGCCGCAGACAAACACCCTGCGGCAGTCAGCAGTGCCACCGGAAACTGTGTCACTAAATCACAGCAAAATGTAAGTGAAATAAGTCGGTTTCGACGCCGACATGTTCACTGCTCGCGCATTGCAGCATGTATTTCATGTCGTGACCTTTCGCGCCCTGCTGGGGCGAAGGTCACGGATCCCGTTAAGTGCCTAGCGGTGCAGTGATCTCCCGTCACGCACAAATAGCTCTCTGTGCACTACTGGCACGAACTCGCATTACTATCCCGCTGGATTAGCCTTCCGAACGCCGGATTCTCTGCTATCTGGAATCTGGAATCCGGACGGATTCTTTACACAATCCAGACGGATCCCCGGATAGTACGGGCTCGGGGCTTACGGTTGGTATATGGCGATACGCGCAAGTGGTTTATTATATATATATATATATATATATATATATATATATATATATATATATGTATGTATATATATATATATCAAAATTAGTTTTACTTTCTTGCTTCTAGCAATTACTGTCATAAAAAGCCGGCAGTCATGCTCACCAGAGACCGTTTCTGATTTTCCATCGCATACCGAGAGTGCATTTATCGCGCTTAGAATCGGGCATGTGAGACCAGCTCGTATCTAATCGTGGCTTGCTACTCGGCTTGGTACTCTAAAGGAGTGCTTTGACGGTGGTTGGTGAACTTCACGTTCAATGCGTCTTTGTTTCCCTTGTACTCTTTATCTGATTTCGTCCATAACGCCAGCTCAGCTGGCATTTTGTACTTCGAGTGTCCTTAAGAAGGCTGTTCATTGGCTATGCAGACAACGCAGTTACGCAGGTGAGTGAGACCCTTGGGAGTATGCACGGTTTTGGTGCATATCCGAACATATTAACTCCAATCATTCGTAGTAAAATCGCCTCCAAAACCATTCAAACCACATAAATCTCTGCGGCTTGACAACGCTTTTGCAGGTAAGCAAATAGTCTGGTAACCTCTGACCTCTAAAAGACCTCTGAGCTTGGCGTGGTACCTTTAGAAGCCACTTTGTAGTTTGAAATTCCTTGCATTCGTCCCACGTTTGATATGACTGGAAGATGAAAAGTTTTTGCACGCTTCGGCATTGGACCCGGGCATGTTCTGTCCTGGTTTCGAGACATGACTTTAAAGGAATTTATCTATGTTAAATTTCAAGTGGTTTGAGTGCACCTAGGCACGTATAACAAACCTTCATGGATGGGCTAAGCCTACGGGCGCTTATGTAGAGCGAGTCAGTGGCCGGAATGGAAAGATGTTTTCGGAAAACGCAAAAACCAATACCGTAAGTGGGATCCTGGGGAAATATCAAGCACGAATTTATAAGCCATGCAACAGAATATCAATGTTTTCTTCCATCATGTTCAGGTGCGCTTAATGACAAAATAATTCATAAGCGCACATCTGCACTAATTTCGTGACCATATCAATCCGAAGCTTTGGAGAGCAGCATACGGCCAGGAAACAGATGGTCCACGAGCGGGCAAGACCGACTATCAATGGGAAGTGCGTGGGTATGCCCAAGCCCCAGATGGTAGCGGGCAGGCTGGCCGAAGAAAAGCATCCCAGTGAATGCTTGTCAGTTGGGCGTTCCTAATGTCATGCAACAACACAGCATCTGTTGTTCGATGTTCTGTTGCACTGTAATTAACATTTTAACAGTGCAATAGCCTGCGGCTGGCACAGCGCTAAGTTGCTGAGTCAGCAGCAGGGGCGGATCTAGCCTGGAGTTGTTGTTTTTTTTTGGGGGGGGGGCAACCGTTCGTGGCCAGCTGGCTGGTGTGGGATCCGAGGTCCAGCGCGTGGTGCCTCTCGCGAGTACCTAGTAGGGACATCATCAAAACCGAAAAAAACACCGAAATGGCTTTGAATCTTAAACAGAAGTTAAACAAAACAGTTTAAACAGCTAAAGTTAAAACAGACGGCAGGTAGACGAAACTTTTATTAAGTTCTGGGAATGTTTTGGGGGGGGAAATACTCTCCAGAGGTTTTGGGGGGGCATGGCCCCGTACCCCCCCCCCCTTCCCCACCCCAGGATCTGCCTATGGTCAGCAGGGACCTAACGACCTCACCAATTGACTTGAGCACTGCTGGAGGCGCTGAGCATTTTCAAAATAAATCCCATTGCTTGCCTTCGGTTTCTTCTAACCAGCACCTCCTGATATCCTGAAGCTCCGTTTTTGTCAGCATCCGAAATTCATCACGAATGAAGAGGAAATGACCCGACTTCTCCGATTGTTTTACCCAAGTTATCTCGCAAAACTTCAAGATACGTTACAAGCTAAGTGGCGTAGGCAGGGAAGCTAGGGCGGCTAGCTGCACTCTGCCTGAGCAGTGCATGAAATGGCATCGGCGGCACAAGGCAGTTTATCTCGCGTGTATTACTCCAATCACACCCATCACCCATCTTCAATCCATCACACAATCCCACGGGTGCTGCAGCGATCGGTGGTGAACGGAAGTGTCCTTACCAAACAGAACTAAACAAAACCTTTTTTGAATTACGTGGGATAAAAGCGTCTGGTTCTGGCAGCCATCTGACATGTACGGGACATGTAGGTACACCCACGGACCTGGATGCCAATGTGCATGTACATCTCGAACACATGGGTGTTGCCCGTGTAACGACTGCAAGCAGAGCGCGCACACAGTTTGACTTTATGGTTATTGGCACGCTTATGTTTATGACTGAGCAGCCATAAAGTAGTGCCAAACACTTGCGTTTGGCACAGAGATCTGGCAGGACTATCCCGTGGTATTCGGTGGAAATATCTGGCAACCCGAAATTCGGCCGTATAGTATAGTAAGAACAGCATCAGGTGCGTGCTTGCCTCTGACTCGCGTGGGAAATGTGACACCGCATGGCACGGGCTTGATTTGGTTAGGTAAGAGCTATTTCGACAATCGCTGACCGCTTCACTTTCAGAGCCGTGCGACCGGAGAGATGGAAAGTGGTGATGTGATGCCGCGGCTATCCCAGCTGCCTCCGATGCCGGATGATGCGATGCCGCGGCTGTCCCAGCTGCCTCCGATGCCGGGCGATGCGATGCCGCGGCTATCCCAGCGCCTCCGATACCGGGCCTGCCCTGCACGAGGAGCCGAACCAGGGCTGTATGTATTGTGTGTGTGTGTGTGTGTGTGTGTGTGTGTGGTGTGTGTGTGTGTGTGTGTGGTGTGTGTGTGTGTGTGTGTGTGTGTGGTGTGTGTGAGGTGTGTGTGTGTGTGTGCGTGTGCGTGTGCGTGTGTGTGTGCGTGTGCGCGCGCTCGTGTGCGTGCGTGTGTCGTCCTGCGTTCAGGTCGCGCACCGGGCGTCCAATCACGCCAACAGTGAGGCTGGCTCCTGGCTACCACATACCCCTGGTGGCACGTGGCGACACAAGCCTGGGTACTCAGGGAAATGCGATGAATCAGTGCAAGAGGGCAGATAACAGTACTGGTCTCAGATATCCTACATCATAAGAGCGTCTCAACTCTTACCCGGCTGTATCGTTTGCTTCGCGTTTTGTTTCGCGGGGACCTGAAACTGATGTTCTCAACTCATGTTTCTCCCTTTAATGCTGCATTATTGGTGTAAAACGACACAAAACGACACAGTTGGTGCCAGCGACAGGCCGTGCGTGACACACGCATGCATTGCACCGCGGAGGATAGAGACCAACCCCGGACGCACAAACCAAACCAACTGTATCCATACAACCGGACGAGAAAACAATCTGGACCAACAAACAACACATCAAACAACTGGGCACAAACAACTGGACCAATTATCCGCGGTCTGATCTTCTGCCTCCAATTATTTATTATATATATATATATATATATATATATATATATATATATATAGAATAATAAATTTATTTTATATATATGTATCATGATTTGTTTTTTAATGATTTATTTATCCCGTGCCATGCGTGTGTGTGTTGCGGCCCGTCCCACGCTCCCAACGGCGGATCATGACTTCCGCCCAGCATCGCCCCTTCCAGCTCGCGTTGGAGCACTCGACGACACTGTGCTGCGTCAGCCTCCCTAAGCTCGCCGCCCTCGTGAAATCCAAAATCCCCACGTCCCGACGAATTCTTCGCTCGCGTGCGTAAGTTAGCCTGCTGCCTGCTAGCCTGCTAGTCTGCTAGTTAGCCTGCTAGCCTGCTTGCCGAGCAGTTCTTGTTGGTGGATTTGGCATGGTGACCCCCCCCGACCTAGCATGCGTACGTCTGCGTCTGCTAGTTGCATTTTAGACTGCGTGCATACACTGACCGCCAACTGTCTTTAACGTCAAGCAACCGCCTGGATGAAGCTGGTTGAAATGAAGGCGAGTGTGCATCTATACAACGCACGTGCAAGCATATTATTTCTGCGAAGCATATGCCTTTTCTCACACATTCAACGCGTAACCCATTTGTAGATCTGTTCTAGCGTGTCTGCTGATGGTGACGAGTGATGACACTCACTCTATGCTTAGCTTACACTAGAAATAGGCACTCAGCTGTGACTATGGCCAAACTGGTACGTCCTCAGCGAACTTGTCTGAATGCCGCCAGCTATGATTTGCGTTGTTCTCCCATTCGGGACCACCCGGTGGCTGGCACCCATTCCGTCACTGGGACCGCTAACCAACAGCCCAAGGCCGCGTGCAACTTCTCATAGCCAAGCTCCGACCGCCACCAAGACGCGATTCCGCCGAACCCCCTCCCCCACCCCCACGTCAGCTAAGCGCCCTCCAGCCGAGCGGAGCACGGGCGCACACGAGTGTCAGCCTTCACCGTTATCCCGTGGTCTGCTCAGGCTGGCCGACGAGCGCCAGGCGGCTGCTTTAAATGCCGCGCCGCCGGCGGCCAATCACCGGCTGCTGCGCCGGTTTCTCGCGCGCTGATTGGTCGGCGGCCGGGCCAGGTGCGGATCGTGGACCACCTGGCCGGGAACAGCTGTGCGGCCGGCGGCGGCGGGGATCAGTCGGGTCCAGTTAGCGAAGCGGGGAGGTGTGTGACGCTCCGTGGAGACAGGCAGGCAATCGGCGGCTCTGTGGACGAGAGGTGGACGAGCGGTGGAGGCGAGACACAGCGGTGGACGGAGGCCCAGGCGACACAGGTGAGTCAAGACCCTGATTTATCGCGCACGTCGCGATCTGTCGCGCAGCTATTTTGTCTGCCCTCTCTGCCGACTGTTGTCCTGCCAGCCGTCTCCCTTCCCTCGCAGACCGTCCCCTTTCCCTCGCGGACCGTCCCCTTTCCCTCGCGGACCGTCCCCCTTCGTTGCAGACCGTCCCCCATCCGTCGCAGACCGTCCCCTCCCCTCGCAGACCGTCCCCCTTCCCCGCCTGCCGTCTGCATCCCTCGCAGACTGTCCGCTTCTTGCGGCCCGTCTCGTCCCCTGCCGACCGTCTGCCGTTCCGTAGGCCTTTTGCGTCCACATCGGACCATCTGCTGTCGGTGCAGACGGTCTTGCTGCCCTGCAGACCCTCTGGTGGCGCCGGCGCAGGTCCAGCCGGCCGTCGCTCGCTGGCGAGCAGTGTAGGAGCGGGCAGTTTCAGGCGTCCCGGCCTTCCACACATCTGGCTTACGCCAAGGAATTGCTCGATCCATCGCGAAACCACACGACAGCTTCGGCTTGGCCTGCGACCACACAGACCTCGTCTGGTGTGGTCTGGTCTGGCCTCGTCTAGTGTGGTCTTGTGTCGTCTTGTCTAGTGTGATGTGATGTGATGTGATGTGATTGATGTGATGTGATGTGATGTGGCGTGGTGGTGTGGTGTGGTGTGGTGTGGTATGGTGTGGTGTGGTGTGGTGTGGTGTGGTGTGGTGTGGTGTGGTGTGGTGTGGTCTGGGTCTGGAAGGTCCGGCCGTCGGAGGCAGGCACTTCGGCAAGCGATGAATTATCGTGCGCTTATGATTCCGGCGACTCGTGTGGGGCGCTCGGTTCTCTCCCGGTGGGGCTCGTTTCTGTGGGCTCGTTCTCTCCGGATGGGGCTCATTTCGGTGACCCCCATGAGCAGAGTGGATCGGAGCCGGACCGAACACCTGCGACGGAGGCTGGGCGGAAAACGCCGGGGCAGAACCGGAACTGACTTGGTCTGCCTTCTGCGACTCCCACCAAGTCTCCAGGACCTTGCCTACCACCTGTCACGTCAGATACACACCGACATCGTCACTAGGAGCAGCCATCTTTGCATTCGCCTCATCGAAAGACTCCTTCTCCCGCAACAAACCGCTGAATCATTTCGCCGCGTCCACCAACGGCGGCGGCGGCGGCGGCGGCGGCGGCGGCGGCGGCTCTCCCCCGGGGCGAACAATGGTCCGTAGCTGGCCGGCGCCGGCGCCCGGGTGCGGCCTTCCCCGCCGCGGCTGCCCGCTGCTGGAGTGCCGACTCTCTCCAGGGCTCGGCATGGACGCGGCGATGTCACTCCGCCGGCCGTTCGCTCGCGGCCGGCCGCGAGGTTTTCGCCCACCAGGTGGCGCCCGTTCGCGGGCTGACTCTGCGGTTTGCCGAACGAGACGCTGCGTCGCGCTGCGGTGCTCTGTGTGCGTGGTCTGCGTGGTGCGTGATCTGCGGTAGTCGGGCCTCTTGTGTCCGTGGGCCTCTGGTGTCCGTGGGGCTCTCGTGCCCGTGGGCCTCTGGTGTCCATGGGCCTCTCGCGCCCGTGGGGCTCTCGTGTCCGTGGGCCTCTGGTGTCCGTGGGCCTCTCCTGCCCGTGGGTCTCTGGTGTCCGTGCGCCCAGCTGTCCGTCGTCCACTCCGCGTCCTGTCTGCGGATGCCGGCGCCACCTTCCCGTGAGCCTGGGCCGAAGCCGGAGTAGGAGCCTGAGCCCGAGCCCGAGCCCGAGCCCGAGCCCGAGCCCGAGCCCGAGCCCGAGCCCGAGCCCGAGCCTGAGCCTGAGCCCGAGCCCGAGCCCGAGCCCGAGCCCGAGCCCGAGCCCGAGCCCGAGCCCGAGCCCGAGCCCGAGCCCGAGCCCGAGCCCGAGCCCGAGCCTGAGCCTGAGCCTGAGCCTGAGCCTGAGCCTGAGCCTGAGCCTGAGCCGGAGCCTGAGCCTGAGCCCGAACCCGAGCCGGAGCCGGAGCCGGCGCCGGCTCTTCACCTGTCTCCCCCCCCCCCCCCCCCCACACCTGTCTGTCCCTCTCCGGGCCATTACGGCCAGCTGGGGGCGCCGTCTCGACGCAGTCACAAGTGCAGCGGCGCCGGCCGCCGTTATCTGGGCCGCCCCATTGTGGCGCCAGCACAGATGGCCCGGCCGCTCGGCAGGGGCGGGGCGGGGGACGGATGACGTGGTGGCCATCATGGCGCTCTTGCAGCAGGCGCGCTGCGAATCCTGGTCTGTGGTTCTCCGCTGGGTTTGAGGAGGCGAAGAGCCGGTGGGGAGGAGAGAGGTCTCCAGTTCCGGCGTGTTTTGTTTGTTTGTTTGTTTGGCGGTTGTTTTGTGTTTTCGTCCTGATGTTTCTTTTCTTCTCCTTTTTTGTTTAGTTCGCACGCCTTCCACTGACAAACGATGAGCCTGGCTAGCAGTACCAGAAGCTGAGCACAAATACACGGTACATAGCTGGAACCGTGCGGTGTATAATACACTGAGCACACCCACTGGCCTCTAGTGCATGCCGCTCATACTGGATACTGCGTTTTGTGTAAACAAAGGCACCAAAATGTTGTTAAAAATGCGCTACATAATGGGGTTGTGCAACGTGGTCGAAAAGAGCAGCGTGGTGAAGAAGTTGTAGATGATTTTGAACAGAAAATGTTCACGTCCCTGTCCAGTTGCAATATTATGCTGGTGCGTAATGATCATACAGCCATCTAACCCTGTCCAAAATGCCAACTTACGTCACACTAAATGATCTGCCACAGTATGGTGGAGTAGGTTTGGACACCATTTGTTCTCGAGATGTGATGTTCTCCTGTTCTCGAGATGATCACCTGTTCTTGTGAGCTTTCCTCCCGGGCCGTGAACTGATGGCCTCTCGCCTGGGCTTGAGTCTCGCTGCCAGGCAGTTCGTGCCGCCTTAGGCAGTGCAGTCGGGCACTGCTGACGGTGAGCGCGAAAATCTCGCAGGACAGGACAGACAGGACTCCGTGAAGGAGTTGTCTGCAGCCCAGCACTGGAAGACACTTGCAAGTGATCCGATTCTAAATGTGCCGGGCCCTTTTACCCATCTCGTAACCGCTGTGCATACACCATGTCTGGTCAGCTTCGCATGCCGTAGAGCGCCAAATGCAAAAATGCAATACGTGCATCGTACGCGTCACGTCGCGACGAACCCGGCGCGCTCGCGGCCTGGCTGGGTCACGCCGAGCGGCGCGACGATCCGACAGCCCGGAACCGAGCGCCGTGGCACAGTTTCCAGCGCCGAAGGCCGCCCCCCCCCCCCCCCCGGCCTCCCCGCCTGCCGGCGACCCTGGGTCACGACAGCTGCGGGCGTCAGCTGGAACGGCCCGCGTTCTGTCGTCGGGCGGGTGGCGGTCTGGCCACGGCCGGCGGTGGTTAGCTTCTGACGGTGACCTAAGGTCAGGCAGCTGCGCCTGATCGAAGCCGCGCTGACTCGCCGGGCGGGGCGGAGTGACGGTCTGGGTGCGCCGGGCTTTGTGTGGCGCGTCGCATCTCGCCGCCGGCGCCGGCCCAGTTTGAGGGCCTCGTTTGAGCACCCCTGACCGGCGCGGTGACAAAAACTCCGTCCACCTGTCGGCCGCCGGAATGTCTTAAACGGCGCCCGACTAGAGCTGCGCATGGCGCTGGGACGGTGCGTGGAGCTGGCGCCGGCGCGCGGCGTCCCTTGGCTACGATGGAGCCTGAGCGAGTGACGGTAGTTGGGATGGGGTCAAGACCAGTCTGTTTGTGCGCACGACTGGTTGGGACGTTCGATTGCGCAGAGACGGATACATTTTTTAAAATGTATTACCTGTATTTTTATTTTTCACGGGGTATGGGGCAGCTTATCGTAATACCATTTAAATGGCCGAGGTCATAAATCATGACGCTGATGCAGCGTCACCAGGTCAATCAGGTCAATCATGGGAGAGCGTCAGCCTCTTCATCTATGACTTCTGGTCTTAGCGTGTCTGCGATTTGGTCGCTTCAAGGCAGCATCGAGAAATGAGTGGGCAGCGACGCCTCGTCTGGTATTGTGTGGACTGGTCTTTGTAGACAATAAGCCGCGTAAGCTCTAGTTAGAAAAATGAAGGCGATAAGCCGCACGAGGTCTAGTTAGGGAAGTGCGTCGCGATGTTAAGCTGAGGGGCACGCGGCTGCGTTGCGTGCCGTAGTCTCTGCGTCGTCCAGAGCAGCCCGTTCCACCGCAGAGGCCCTGTCCGCCCCCCCCCCCCCCCCCCCCAGCCGCTCCATCGCCCACTTCCGCCGGCGCACCCGCCCGGGCCGGGCGCACCTCTAGCACGTGACCAGGTGTGAGGCCGTTGATAAACAGGCGGCCGGCGCCACTGGGGCGGCGGCCGGCGCGCGCGCTTGTTTGAGCGCGGCTCCTCGGCGGCGGGGAATTCGGCCAGGTGCAGCGGCGGCCCGGCTTGAAAGCGGCCGTGTGGGCGGCCGCCGCCGGACCGGCGCCAGTCGGGCGCGCGGCCGGCCCCCGGCGGCGGCGGACGCGGCGCGCTCTCACGGCGGCGGTCGTGACGCGGGGATTACCGCTGCCGGCGCGCTCGGCTGCTTCATTGCATCTGTCTGGCCGCTGCGCGTGTCCGTGGGGCGGCGCTGTGCACTGTCGGTGGTTGGGGATTTTAAGGTTTCGGTGAAAAAATGGGATGACGGAAGAGGCGAGGGTGGGAGACCTTTGCCAATTCGGCGTTCGTCGCGATGGCCGGAGCGTTTTGATCGACTGCGTTCGAATTCGAAGGCTGTATTTAAATGGGGCGGAGTCGGGATTTAAATAAGCGAGGCAGCTACCACCGACGGAGCGGCGTGGTCTCTGGCTGCGAAGCACTGGAGAGAACGTGCGTCGCAGAGGGCGGCGTAGCACCACTAACGATCCGGAGTGCGAGTCCCCCGCGCGACCAGATACGACCAGAAATATCCGGTCACGTGCGATGACACGCGTCGCGCCCATCGGGCGAGACGAACACATCCCCAGCCCCTCCCCCCCCCCCACCGATCCCCCTCCGCCGTATCTTATCTGGCTCCGGGCTGAATGAACGGCGCCGCCGCGTCCGATGCATGACGAGTCGGGACAGGGACCCGCTGATACCAGACCGAGATGGCCCGGTGGTGCGGGGCTCGCGGCACATTGAATGGGATTATAGCTCAAACACTGAACATAGCCCCGAACGACGAAATTACAACGCGTTTTGATGACTCATTTCCGAAGTGAGATCAGTACGTCGAGCTCACGCCAACGGAGTCGTGCCCCGCGCCGCGCGTCCGCACCAGCCACAGCTTCGAGGTCAGGTCAGGTCAGGTCGTGCGAGGGTCGCGACCTGAGGGCAGTGTCCGCCTTCACGTGGCGGTCGGCCGGACGCTGCGTGGCGCCCGGCGGGGCCAAGAACGGGCCTCGCTCTGGCGCAGCCGCCGCCGCCGACGCGGCGTGGGAGCGGGCCGGTGGTGCGCGGGGCCGTCGCCGGCGGCGCCGCGGCCTGCGGTGGATGTTGGCACAGACGAGGCCTCGCCCAGCCGTCGCCGGCTGTCGGGATGGGAGCGGGGGCAGCCTGCCGGGGGGGGGGGGGGGAGGGGCCGGGGGGCAGCGACAGCTGGGCTGCAACTCCCCTGGCGGCAGTGTTGGCGGTCGCACCCACCCCGCCGTAGCTGAACCGCCCGTACCCTCCCCCTCCCCGCCGCACGGGGCGTGGATAGAAGGCAAGGCTCGATGGTCGGGGGGAGGGGGGGAGGGGGGGGGGGTACGGTCCGTTGGTGCGCATCCGCACCCGTCCACTGGATCGTCTTCTTTCTGCTAGGGAGGTGTGTGTCAATCAGGCCAGCTCAGCCGCGAACGACGGCCAGACCGCTTTCAGCACAGAAAACAATAAACTTAAGCGGAGGTCATGATCCGTTTTTGGTCAGCTTTGTGAGCCTTTTGAGAAACAACAGCTTCTGACCTGGCTCCGCTGCTGGCCGTATCAATTCATCAGAAGGCGATCAGCAACCGCAGAAGCAGAAATCACCGCAACACAACCCAGAAAAAACAAGAAGAGCCTCAACACAACCCAGGAAACCAGCCGGGCGGTATCAGGCCCCGCGCTGGCGCCGCTCCTGAGCCGCCCCCCGGCCGGCGCCTCGCGTCCGGTGCGCGCCTCGCGCGACTCGGCCTCCCGCGCCGCTGGCGGCGGCCAGCTGTGACCCGCCGCTGACTCAGCCCGGACATCTGTGGCTGCCGGCCAATGCCCTAATTGCGACGGCGGCGACAGGTGCGTCGCCGCCGACGCCGTCGACGGCAGTCGACGGCGGGGCGCGGCGGCCGCGCCGCCCCGGAGCAGCGGCGGCGCCTCCCCGTGCTGGCGCGGGCCCGCGTCGTGGAGCGGTTGGTTTGGTTGGCGCTGGCTGTCGGTGGGTTGCCCGGAGGTTGTTTTGAATCGTGTGGAAAGTCCTGGATGTTGCGCGACGTGGCTCCGGGGGGAGGGGGAGGGGGTGAGTGGTGATGTGGTGGTGTGGTGAGGCGTCGTGGCTGTTACGGCGGCGTAGTCTTGTGCAGCTCATTTCGATGGGTACCGCTCCAGTACTCTATATTTCTAGTCTCTCAGCACGCTCGCTTGCCAACTCCGCCGGACCGGCCAGCTCACGCAGGCCACCTGTCGCCACGTCCAGCGAAAGGACCTCAGCCATGATACTCGGCATCGGAAGCATCATCGTTCGATACCGACTGCCGCTGGGCACACACGGTTGCCGACGTTCGCCTGCCTGGCGTCGGGTTCGCCTCAGATCGGGCGTTCTCGAGCCCGGATCGGGCGCTCTCTTCCGGGTCCGAAAGCCAGTTGTCCAGTCGGGTCGGCAAAGGACGGAGCCGGCCGCCTGACCCGGCCCGTTGGCGACGCGGTTGCACCGGCTCGTCCGCCCAATCCACCCGATCCACCTGGTTGATTCGGCGCAAGCGGTCCGCCTGGCTCACCCGATTCACGTGTCCATCCAATCCACCCGGTTCAGTCGGTCCACCTGGTCCGTCTGGCTCACCTCGTCCACCGCGTCACGATGCCCGGACGGACGAGGTGGACCGCGTGGCGGACGCCGGCCACCTACTGCAGGGGGTGGCCGGACGGTGCCATCCCCGCTCTCCAGCCGCGGGCGCCACGCCTCTGGCGTCTCTCCGCCAGCCTGGAGGTCCCGTCGGCTCGGCCAGCGTAACGCCTCCCCCTCTGGTAACGCCTCCCCCTTCCCCGCCAGCCGGGGGATGCCGTTGGGTCGGCCAGCGTAGCGCCGGTCGGCTGGCGTAGCGCTGCCGCTGGGCGGGGCTGCGTCGGACACGGAGGGAATGAGAGGCAGGCGGCGCCGACGCCGAGTCTGGCAGCGACCTCTCTGAGCGGTGCGGCCTGTGAGCCGCTGTGGCAGGATAGCCGCTGTGTGAGCCGCTGTGTAAGCCGCTGTGTAAGCCGCTGTGGAGCGATGGGGTGTTCGGCCCATGACGCTCGTAGCCGGAAAATACGCTGTGCAAGCCTTGCAAACGGTCTGCAGTGCAAGCACTAGTTTCACTGGCAGGCAGTGACACCGCTGTCGGAGAAGCCACCAATGGTTGCGCCTTGTGTGACGCTGTGGCGCTGCAGCTCCGTATCTGACTATTCTTCTGGATATGGGACACGGGGCACGTTACGTGACTTTTAACTCGACATATGGCTTTTACCAGCGACTCGTTCAATTGTCAAGACTGTCCACTGTCGCTGCTTGCCAAATCTGCCATTCCTCCGGGACATGTCATCTTCTTCTTCTTGCCTTGTCCCCTTTAGCTCCGGGACATCAGCAGTCAGTCTTGCCCGCCTTCTGGGACATCAGTGACCAGTCCTTCCACCTCTGGGACATCAGTAGCCAGTCCTCCCCGCCTCTGGGACATCAGCGGCCCAGTCCTGCCCACTCTAGGACTCAGTAGTCAGTCCTCCCCACCTCTGGGACATCGGTAGCCAGTCCTGCCCGCCTCTGGGACATCAGCGGCCCGACCTCCCCGTCTGGGACATCAGCGGCCCGACCATCCCCGCTCCGGGAGGACCCTCTCTCCATGCCGTCCGCCCCGCCGCGGCCGAACCGTACCCGCTGACGAGTCCTGCCTCGCTGACGAGTCCTGCCTCCGCTGACGAGTCCTGTCTCCGCTGACGAGTCCTATCTCCGCTGACGAGTCCTGTCTCCGCTGACGAGTCCTGCCATCCGCTGACGAGTTCTCGTCAGCAGCTGGCGAGGCCAGAGGGCGCACCCAGCTGACGGCCGCGCCGGCCGCAGTATGGCAGAGTAGTAACCGGCGCGGCCAGTAGTAACGGCGCGCCGCCGGCAGTATGTGGAGCGGCGCGCCGGCTGTGCCGTCGGTGACGGCTGCGGCGCTTCAGTGTCGGCGGGGGTCCGGGCCGATGACGGATGTTCGTCTCGTCCGGCGAGGCGGTACGCTTGTCCGAGCCGCGTTCTGGCGCTTGGGGTGGACGAGGTTCGGCGACGCGGCGGGTTTGTCGCGTCGCGTGCCGCGGAGGGCGTCGCGCTCAAACGCCCCCGCGCAGGGATGCCATGTTTGAAAGTGGTGAGTGACACGTCTGGCGTTGCACAGGTGCGCCTTGGCTCTGACAGCTGACGCAGCGCAAAGGCGTGTACTATCAGTGACCAGCGGCGCCGTCTTCTGACCACGAGACGTCCGTGTGACCTTCTGTCTTCTCCTCGTTCCAGGCATGGGAATTCCAGAGGAGCGTCTGAAGAGGGTCGACTTCGGCATCAACATGGAGGCCAAGATGGATGCCAAGCGGACCTCCATGAGCGCCGCCGAGACCAGAGTCAAGGCGGACGGCATCTCCAGGAGCCCGCTCTCCAGCATCTCCAACACTGACTCCGACGACAGCATCGAGGTGCGCGTGCGGAGCCCGATGCACCCCAAGTACCGGAAGCGGCCGCGCGAGCCCGTGCCGCGCCGCGAGCCCGAGGTCAAGGTCAAGGTCGACGACGACGCCGAGCGTTCGGACGGCAAGCGCTCCGCCGACGCCGCCGGCTTCGTCGTGCCCAAGAAGCGCTTCCGGCGCGAGTACGAGGCGGCGGCGGGCGGCGCGGCTGGAAGAGCGCAGCGACGGCGAGTCGGACGGCAGCGGCCGCGAGGTGCCGGCGGTGCCCGGCTGCGGCCGCCACCGCCGCGTGCTCTTCGAGTGCGCCGCCTGTCTGGAGCACGTGGCGCAACGCTTCGGGTGGCCGGTGCACGCGCTGCGCGCGCCGGGCGGCGGCGACCGCCGGCGCGCCTGCCGCTGCCGCTGCCGGTGCTGTCGCAGTTCGGTCTGCCGTTCTCGCCGTTTGTGGAGCCGCTGTTGGCGTACCAGGCGCTGGGCGCCGACCCGCGGCTGGCGGCAGGCTACTGGCTGGCGCCGCGCCTGCGCCCGCCCGCGCTCCCTCGCCGCGCCGGCACCGGCGCCGCCGCGCGCTGTCGCGACGACGGGCGACGCGCCTCTCGACCTCACCCGTCGACGCAGCGGCAGCGGCGGCAGCGGCGCTGGCAGCGGCTGGCAACGGCGGCAGCGGCCGCTTCAGCATCGAGAAACATCCCTGGCGGGCCGGACGGCGCGGCTGAGCACCCGGCGGCAGCGCGACGCCCCGCTGCGCACAGCCCGCCGCGCTGGCGCCGTCCCCTCTCGCCGCCGCCGCCGCCGCCGCCGCCGCCGGCGGCGCCACAAGCACGAAGGCGCTGGCGAGTCCGGACACGACGCGCCCCGCCGCCGGGCGCCCGGCGGCGACGGCGCGAGCTCGCCAACGAGCGAGAGCGCATGCGCGTCAAGCACCTGACCGGCGCGTTCAAGGAGTAAGCGCCAGCATCGGCGGCATCGCCTCTGAGTGCATCGGAACGTCGGGCGTGAAGTTCACGAAGGTTGGCGATCCTGCGCACGGCATCGCTGTACATCGGCTACCTCTCCCACGTGCTCTCCGAGGGCCCGGGCGTCACGGAGGAGAAGGTGTACGACCAAATGCGCGCCGCCATCCTCGAGGTCATGACGTCCAAGAGTAAAAAGGGCAAGGACGAGGACGAGGAGGACGATGACGAGTTATAGAGCGGCGCTGCGAGGACGGACGCTGCGAGTGCGGACTGCAGAGCTCGGTATTTTTGATAGACGTGTGGCGGTCGGAGGGGGCAGGTTCGCCAGACAAGCTGTGATTCGTGCAATGGACGGCGGCTGCGCGCGGGCCCGCCGGCCCGCCGGCGCTCCGGCCCTGTACTGTGATGAACTCGTTCGCGTGCTCTTGTCTTCCATGATTGCCGCGGTGGCCGCGTGCAGACATTCCCCGCAAATAGCTCTTCCACGTCGGCGCGGGCGCTGCCGTGCACTGCCCGGCCCCAGCGGCCCGCGGGCGTGACAGGCGCTGTGCGTCACGTCTGTCGTGCCGCGCAAGTGATTGTTTTTGTCGCGCCAATCAAAGGGAAATACAGCGTATATATTACTCGGGCGTTTCACGCACGTGGAACTGAGGTGTTCGGCGTCCGGGCGATGCTGCTCGCGAACGCAAAGCTCGCCACTGCGAGCACCAATACGCGGCCGGCGCCGGCGGTTCGCCAGCAGAACCCGGCGGCTGCGGGCGCGGGCGCCGGGGGCCTCTCGTCGCCGGCGCCAGCTGCTGCGCCGCGGCCGCCGCTTCTGCACGACCTCAAAACCGGTCTAGCCAAGGGCGCAGGAAACCGGCGTGCCGGTGCGGCAGCGGACATTCCGCGGACGGTCGCAGCCCGCGCCGGCCGCACCCAGCCGGCGTCGAGCTGTATCGCGCCAGCCATCGCTGCAAGGACGGCCGCGCAGTGCCCCCCCCCCCCCCCCCCCGGCCGGATCCGTCGTCGGCGCCGGTGACGCGGATGGGCTTAGTTTCGGAGGGGGAGGGGGCGGGGCGGCGTTGGTCTCAGGTGCGGAGAGTCGGAGCTGCGACCGCAGGCGGACTCGTCTCGGAGAAAGCGGTTGGCGCTTTTAAAATAGATATAGGCTGACCAAGACTTAGCTGCTTCCAAGTTCACTCTTTTTAACAGAAAAACATCCCATGACGGGGAAAGCTTTTCTCGTCACGGAATTCTCCGGTTTGACAAGACCCGACATCTCACCACGTCCGACCATTAGAGTATGAAACCTTGCGACTGGACGAAGTGCTTCCCCATCCGAGAGGTGCGCTGTATCAGCATTCCGCGGACTAGTGAAAGTTAATTGCACGCAAACACTTCGTGGAAGATTTTTTGGCCGTGCTGTTTTGTTCACCAGTGCATACAAATTGCAGCATGATGGATCATTGTTTGTTTCGGCAAGGAAATCAGCGCATGTTTGCTCACATGATGGCTGATAGCCTATCATAGCCACGCGTTGGATGCTTAATGCGCAAATACTGTAGCAACGGATACAGGGGGTGATGGAGGGGGAGGGGGGAGGACACTGAAGGAGGTATTAGAGGGACGGTAGTTCAGATACAGACAGGTTCTCTAACAACACAGCGGCCACTTGATAATTAAGAGGCTGCTTATAATACAATGGTGGACATCCAAACACGTTTCGAATGTAGCAGATTATTTTGGATCGAGTCACAAGGGTGTTGTCCAGTGCAGAAATACAGGAGCACGAGTAGGTGCATAATGATACGCAATTCGACGTTGACACAAACGTGCGATGCTCCCCATCAATTTCGTATGATCTACAATCCCCACTGATCCTATTGTTGCCAGTAAGATAAAGGCAAAGAAATATGGGGCAAAGAAATGAAAGATACGATTTGTATTGTCGGCCGTTCTTCGTGCTCATTTTTACCCTCTGTTTAAAAATCTTGCATCCACCGCTGATCCAAAAATGGTTTAAACATGCGCTTTTGGGGTTTCCATAGACACAGAAGAATGCAATTCGTGACACGGAACGGAAATTCGTGACACAGAAATTCAAAACAATCCGGGAAATTTGGCGCAAAGAGCTTCCGATGCAGTACTTTTGCCATTCTAGGTGCAATGAGTGTTCTCGAAACGCCGTGTTAAGACGTTCAGCTAGCTCAGACCACAAGTTTGTTTAAAAGGCCGTCGGAATCGATCCAGGGATTTTCAAATTTCAGGAGGACTGAATCACCATGTTTGGAATCCAGGCGAAATTCAGAGCCCTTCATCGAAAAGAAATTCAGCGCATTCCAGGCTGAGGACTTTGGCTGGAGCGTGCGCTAGTCGTCACAGTCCAGATCAGGATAGCACCGCTAGGAGCAGACACGACTCCTGCTCGACACACCGAAAGTGTCCACCACCAGAGCAAACATGTGGCGCGGATCCCAAAATATGTCCGGGTTCGGCCTTTGGGCTCTGGTAATCCCAGGTGGTTTGGGATCCAAGATCCGTTGTGGTGGGTTGTCAGAGAATCTTCCGAGGCTCGGAATCTATCCCTCACTTTTGCCGAAAGACCCACCAAAATACTTCTCAGCTTCATTGATACCGAGGGATCTGCCGAGAATTCAGGATCCCTTTTGTTAACTTACCTCAGTGAACTCCCGACAACGATTTTCCCCGAGCTAGGCTGCTAAAATTATTGCGGTTGCCGCAATGCTATCTGCTCAAGTCATGATCATGTATAATCCGCACGTTGCATGCAATTGATCAGATATATACGGCAGTAGCAGCAAAATCTACGTTTGAATGCACTGCACATGCTACCAGGTTAGCCTATCACTTGGTAATCACCCTTATACTCTTTGTTGCAGGACTATAACATGTACCTTCCACGCTTCCCGTCGACAGAAGCAGAGCATACTTGTAGAAAATCTACCAAAACCTGGCGCAACGACCGACTGGTCAATTGCCTATTCAGAGTTGAATAATGGAGCAAATGGGACGGTTTATGACTACACTAGAATTGAACTAAAATCGATATTTCATGTCACCTTAAAATACAAGTCTGAATCTACAAACACCCAGGCTGTTGGGCGCAACTTTGTATAGGAGTCTCCATATATATAGAATCTTAGTTTAATTTTTGGTCTAAGGATCTTGTCTGACCTGGGTTTTTCATAACCTTTGCCGAAAAAGTTCTGACATCACGAATCTTTTCCAAGTGCGATAGAATTACGTTCTAAATCCAGACTTCCGTTCCCAGAATGGCGCTCAAGCCTGCACAGGAGCGGACACCTGCCCGCGTGCACGCACGTGCGCGTTCACGTCCGCGCGCGCGCACGCACACCGCTCGAGGTCACACGCACGCGGGCGCGCAGGCGAGCGCGGACCGGCGGGGTCGGCGTCCGGAGCGGGTTTCTGCAGGGCTGGTCGTGCCGGGGGTGCAGTACGAGACGCACCTGTGCGCACTTAACGTCAAGTCCGCCGCTCTGCAGAGACAGAGGAAACCCAGAACCGGCCCTTGGGCTAAGATATGCCAACGCGATATGCAGGACTCGTGCACTTCCGATCACGCATTCGCGGGGTGCGTGAAGACCTCAGCTGTGGCACAGGTGGGACGATGCTTTCTGAAAAGTAAGAAGCTCGCAGTAATTCCAGAGTTTTTGAGCCCATTCATGGAATGCATTACTGTGGCATTAATATTGAAGATAGGATATTCTTGACAGACACACCCTTACCGAGAGGATACAGAGTGACAGGCCTGAGGCCCAGCCGTGGTAATCAGTCTCAGACCTCATTTCTAGAGACTTACAACTCCTCTGTGCCCGAATATATGAGTGCCTCGGTGGGGAATACCGATACAAATTGGTTTGAAGGAGTGAACTGGAAAGTTAATTTAACAACAGCAAAATGTAAAAATGATTTAACTTGCACTTGAGACCATTGTGGCCGGTACCGAACATGTCATACTGGGTTTTCCGCTCCATCCATAACTGGTTGCATTGCTATCTGTGGGTGGAAGGAACCGTAACAATGATAGGCGTGATAATGTCTCGAACAATCCAAATGTTGCCCTGCTGTTCTGCAATGTGGCATCCGTGGAAAAATATTTAGATCCAAATTTCGGCGCACACATACTATAACTTGAGGAAACTAGTTATTGCAAGTGATACAGTTATATAGCTCATGAGTACATGTTTGATGGATTAAAATTAATGCGTCTTGTTTTCGAAGATAGCCAGCTGATAGGTATGGCGGCAAAACGCACCGAAAGTGCGGGGGTAAGCACGTGTTCACCAGACTTGTGCTTGATTTCGCTTCGGCGGGAAACGATTCCTACTCTGACGCGCAATGCATGGGTTTTTCATGCTCTAACTGAGAGTGCATGGGGTTTTTTCATACTCTAACTCAGAGTGCATGCGTTTTTTCATACTGTGAACGCGCACGCAATGGGTTTTTCATGCTCTAACTCAGAGTGCATGGGGTTTTCATACTCTAACTAAGAGTACATAGGTTTTCATACTCTGACGCGCAATGCATGGGTTTTTCATGCTCTAACTGAGAGTGCATGGGGTTTTTCATGCTCTAACTCAGAGTGCATCGGGGTTTTCAGACTCTCACTCAGAACAGCTGGGTGCAGTTTTTGACTCCACATCCGATTCCGACTGAAATTTATGGCTCAAACCTGAATTAATTCCGTGTGGCTCACTCGAGTGCAAGCATTTTGGTAATTTATTTAAGCGCTTTCATAAAGCCAAAATAAAACGTTCATTTTGCTGACGAAAGGGCTCGATATGCTGCTTTTTCATCTCATGCATATAGGAAACTGTCGGACTTTTAATATATCTGGTGGCTTTATTTGTGTCTGATTCGAATCACCCCCAAAACGTTGACTCAATTCCAACTGCAAATCATAACAAAAGTTTCCATCCCGGGAAATTTTTGGAATGTTTAAAACTTGCTTTTCTTAAAAGTTTCCTTCATCTTGAAAACTTTTAAAACACATTCTTCATCGCTTACGCGACAACTCAACGAAAACTTTCGTAACTCCGGAGTCAGTTCTGACTACGCCGAGAGTCAAACCACAAGTTCGTGCCTGAACCACGAAGTATCCTTGCAGTACGGCCACATTATATTTTGTAGTCTAGCATCCTTGCCGTGCGCTTGAAGCGCAATTGAGATGCCTTCTTTGGCACACCATGCTGAGCTGATCACAGGATAAAC